TACAATGACCCAGTGGGATCAGACTGGATGAGCCCAATGTGTTTACAATGACCCAGTGGGATCAGACTGGATGAGCCCAATGTGTTTACAATGACCCAGTGGGATCAGACTGGATGAGCCCAATGTGTTTACAATGACCCAGTGGGATCAGACTGGACACTTTCAGGTTTTGCTGCAGTGAATTCCAGGAAGATGGAGCAGAACAGGAGACGTTCTGTGAGAACTCATGGAACACTGAAGGAAATAAACTCTTGAGTGTAGGCTCTGATTGTCTTTGTGACATCTTAAAATGTACGTAGTTGACTCTTTCGGGGACATTTATTTATTTAAATGGAATGTTTATTAATACTTTATTAGTTATAGTATTTGTTGATTACATTTTTAATGAAATGGTTCTTCATAGACCTGTTCTCAATAGAGAAATCTAAAATGTGTGGAGGAGCATTTTGTACTGTTGGACACATTAAGACAAAAGAACTCCTGAAGCTTTCACATGTTACAAATATCTGATATCTACATCTTTTTAAGAATGAAAACAACAAATGGACACAAGTTTTATTAAGCGTACTGTATGTGGCAGCCTGAAACACAGTAATATTGTARACAGTGATTGATGAAAGTCAACTGAAGACAATAATCAGTTCAAACAGCAGCTCTTCTCAGATTTACAGTATTCACTTTCTTTTCTGTTTCCCTTTCAGACTTCAGAGAAGGTGGAGACGCTCTTACTGCTGTCAGAGTCTTGTCACCAAGATCAGCCAATGACACGTCAGCCTCAGGTAGCAACAAGTCTTGTGGGCCCGCCCCCCATTAACCCCCCACCTCCTCCACCAGGAGCTGATGTCATAGACCAGTGGGCCCATGATGTTAACAGGAACAGTGCTGCAGATGTTGACATGGCTAACAGTCCAGTAGATAAGCACCATGTCAGAGATGATGATGATGATGATGATGATGATGTACCCAGTAATCAAACTAGCACTGACAGTGATGAAGAGGCCAGTGAGGATGTTATTAGCGTGTTAGCTCAAGCTGAAGTTAATGAAGCAGTGCACTCAGCAGTCACACACACTAATGATGCTACTGAGGATAGCATTAACGCTAACTTTGTAGTTAGCTTTGGTAATCAGCTAGCTGATGAGGGTCAGAGTTGTTCCAGAAGCCAGAATAACCATGAGAGTGGAGAATCTGACAGCTCACAGGATGAAGGAGGCTGGAGATTTGAGGAAAACTCCCCTCCTCCAACCTTACCCCAGCCCACGCCCAAGTTCTCAGCCAGCTGGGCTCAAGCATCCACCTACAGAGATGATGAAGATGAAGCTGAACCTCTGCAGGAGGTAACACTTTAACCATCACAAATCAGCCCCAGTACCCAGATCTGAGCCGCTGTCATACCTGCCCAAACCTACGTGTTCCTTCCACTCTGGTCCACTGAACATTAAACACCGGTCATCAGCCGAACGTCATCAGTAAAGTGTTTGTTTGTTTTCAGGAGGTCCCTGTGCTGAGGAAGACTCTGACATATGAAGCTCCAGGGGTGAGGAAGTTTGTTTTATTGACCACAGACCAGAGTTAGTCCTTCACAGCTCATTTAAAAGCACACATTGATCAGCCACAACGTTCCCACCACCACCCGAATTTAGAGGCGTTACCCTTTGGTTTGAAAACATTTCTTATGTTCTTGTTTCTCCAGAACTGTTGTTTCATAAGGTTTGCTGATCTGTGTGTGTGTGTGTGTGTGTGTGTGTGTGTGTGTGTGTGTGTGTGTGTGTCCTGTTTCAGAGCCAAGTGGACTCTGATCCCTCTTCAGGCCTGCTGCTCAGCTCCCAGACCTTCACATCAGAGACTTCCAACACCACCACTACTACACACATCACAAAGGTAACAATGTAACCATGGATGGACCTCAGTTCTTACTATAACCTCACATTCATTCATTCATTCATTCATTCATTCATTAGTCAACTCTATGATTCTAACAAGTGTTCTGAAACGAACCAGGTCTAGACCAGGTTTAAACTGAAGCTTAAAGAGTCATTTTACTGCAGAAAACTGGTCCTCTAACCAACTTTTACAGTCTGATATCAGCTAAAAAGTATCTTTGATCTTGTTTTTAGACCCATATACTAAACAAGGTAAGAATATGTTGGATTATTTATCTTGTTCATCTGAAAAGTTTTTTTTACTTCAAGAAGTCTGACCAAGTGCAGCTGTCAAACTGCAGATTATTAATTATTCATTTGAAAAGATTCAGAGTATAATCCGTTTGAACTTATTTTAAGATGGATGATTTTTGCAGTGTCTCATACACTTATTACATTTATTCTTTTTTTCTTTGCACTAAAGTATTACAGAGTAAATATATTCATTTTATTTACAGAGTAAATAGATTAATTTTATTTATTTATCAGATTATCCATGAAAAAGAACAATTAAAAAAGCCTTTGCCTCAGTTTACAATAATCTCAGAGACTGGCATGTCAGCCCTTCAGGTGTTTCCCTGAATAATGAGC